ACAAGAGAAGGGGTTACTAGTCCCTTGCTCCCAGCATTTTAGTCGCCTCTTATGACACGCATGGCTTATGGAGGAAGAATTCTGTTTCACTTCCCCATGGAGATAAGAGGAAATAAACAAGAACTAGTAAGAAAATAGAAGAAAACCTAGTGGGGCATGTATATATACACTTGTACATGCATGTGTAGTGTGACCTAAGTGTAAACAGAAGTAACAAGGCATAAATGAAACCTTGCATATTTATGAGACAGAAAAAATCACCAGCAATCCTTATTTCTTTTTTCATTCAACAAACCGGTCGTATCCCACTGAGGCAAGGTGGCCCAAAAAGAAAAACAAAAGTTTCTCTTTTTAACTTTAGTAATGTATACAGGAGAAAGGGTTACTAGCCCCTTGCTCCCGGCATTTTAGTCACCTCTTACGACAAGCATGGCTTACTGAGGAAAAATTCTGTTCCACTTCCCCATGGAGACAAGAGGAAATAAACAAGAACATGAAATAGTAAGAAAATAGAAGCCCAGAGGGGTGTGTATATATATGTTTGTACATGCATGTGTAGTGTGACCTAAGTAGAAGTGGGAAGACATACCAGAAATCTTGCATGTTTATGAAACAGAAAAAAGACACCAGCAATCCTACCATCATGTAAAACAATTATAGGTTTCCATTTCACACTCACTTGGTAGGACGGTAATACCTCCCTGGGCAGCTGCTGTCTACCACCTACTACCTAGGACTTTCAAGGTTATACTCAAGAAAAGTCAATGCTTAGAACAAGTGGTTAATTGTCCCAAGTACAGCAATCACTCACACCTAGAAAATTCTTACAAAGCATTACAATTACAGTGGACCCCCGCATAACGATGGCATCACATAGCGATTAATCCGCATACCGCTTACTTTAATCGCAAAAATTTTGCCGCGCATACCGATTAAAAACCCGCTCACCGATTTTCGTCCGAGACGCGTCCAATGTGCGCCCTCAGCCAGCCTCACATGTGCCGCCCGTGCCATTGTTTACCAGCCAGCCTCCGCGGTAACATCCAAGCATACACTCGGAATATTTCATATTATTACAGTGTTTTCGGTGCTGTTTCTGGAAAATAAGTGACTATGAGCCCCAAGAAAGCTTCTAGTGCCAACCGTACACCAATAAGGGTGAGAATTCCCATTGAAATGAAGAAAGAGATCATTGATAAGTATGAAAGTGGAGTGCGTATCGCCGACCTAGTCAAGTTGTACAAGAAACCCCAATCAACCATCGCTACTATTGTGGGCACCAGAAAGACAATCAAGGAAGCTGTTCTTGCCAAAGGTTTAACTGTGTTTTCGAAACAAAGATCGCAAGTGATGGAAGATGTTGAGAGACTCTTATTGGTGTGGATAAATGAAAAACAGCTAGCAGGAGATAGCGTCTCTCAAGCGATCATATGTGAAAAGGCTAGGAAGTTGCATGAGGATTTAATTAAAAAAATGCCTGCAACTAGTGATGATGTGAGTGAATTTAAGGCCAGCAAAGGTTGGTTTGAGAGATTTAAGAAGCGTAGTGGCATCCATAGTGTGATAAGGCATGGTGAGGCTGCCAGTTCGGACCACAAAGCGGCTGAAAAATATGTGCAGGAATTCAAGGAGTACATAGACAGTGAAGGACTGAAACCTGAACAAGTGTTTAATTGTGATGAAACAGGCCTGTTCTGGAAGAAAATGCCAAGCAGGACCTACATTACTCAGGAGGAAAAGGCACTCCCAGGACATAAGCCTATGAAAGACAGGCTTACTCTTCTCATGTGTGCCAATGCTACTGGTGATTGCAAAGTGAAGCCTTTATTAGTGTATCACTCTGAAACTCCCAGAGCGTTCAGGCAAAAGAATGTCCTCAAGGATAATTTGTGTGTGCTGTGGAGGGCAAACAGTAAGGCATGGGTCACTAGGTACTTTTTCTATAACTGGTTACACCATGCATTTGCCCCCAATGTGAAAGATTACCTAACTGAAAAGAAATTAGAACTTAAGTGCCTCCTGGTGTTAGACAATGCCCCTGGTCATCCTACAGACGTGGCAGAGCGACTTTATGGGGACATGAGCTTCATTAAGGTGAAGTTTTTGCCTCCTAATACCACTCCTCTCCTGCAGCCCATGGACCAGCAGGTTATTGCAAACTTCAAAAAACTGTACACAAAAGCTCTGTTTGAAAGGTGCTTTGTAGTGACCTCAGAAACTCAACTGACTCTAAGAGAGTTTTGGAGAGATCACTTTAATATCCTCAATTGTGTAAACCTTATAGGTAAGGCTTGGGAGGGAGTGACTAAGAAGACCTTGAACTCTGCTTGGAAGAAACTGTGGCCAGAATGTGTAGACAAAAGGGATTTTGAAGGGTTTGAGGCTAACCCTGAGATGATTATGCCACTTGAGGAATCCATTGTGGCATTGGGAAAGTCCTTGGGGTTGGAGGTTAGTGGGAGGATGTGGAAGAGTTGGTGGAGGAGGACAATGAAGAACTAACCACTGATGAGCTGATAGATCAACTTCAAGAGCAAGAGGCCAGACCTGGGGAAACTGGTTCAGAGGAGGGGAGAGAGAAATTGAAGAAGTTGCCTACTACAAAGATTAAGGAAATCTGTGCAAAGTGGCTTGAAGTGCAAACCTTCATGGATGAAAATCACCCTCACACAGCTATTGCAAGCCGTGCTGGTGATTATTACACTGACAATGTTGTGAAACACTTTAGGCAAGTCATAAAGGAACGAGAGGTACAGGCCACTATGGACAGATATCTTGTGCGAAAGAAGTCCAGTGACTCTGAAGCTGGCCCTAGTGGCATTAAAAGAAGAAGGGAAGTAACCCCAGAAAAGGACTTGCTACCTCAAGTCCTAATGGAAGGGGATTCCCCTTCTAAACACTAACACTCTCTCTCCCCTCCTCCCATCCCATCAATCATCACCAGATCTTCAATAAAAGTAAGTGTCATGTAAGTGTGCATGCCTTTTTCAGTTTGTGTGTATTAAAATTAACATTTCATGTGGTAAAAAAATTTTTTTTTCATACTTTTGGGTGTCTTGCACGGATTAATTTTATTTCCATTATTTCTTATGGGGAAAATTCATTCACATAACGATTATTTCGCATAACAATTACCCCTCTTGCACGGATTAAAATCGTTATCCGGGGGTCCACTGTATTACTTCTATCTGCCAGTTGGGATACCAAGGCAGTCAAGTGCTTGGTACAGTAAAGAAGGTAAGGAGGGTACTATTAGAAAATAACACAGAAGGCTCTAAAACATCATTTTGCACTATGAAAATAAAATCCCTTGGATCAAACCTGATTACTTCCCATTCTCCAGGTGTCGCAAGACCCATATGGGTTCAGCACTTTTTCATGACTACAACATGCAGTTAATAGTTTCACACTCATATACATGTAGCTGTTAACTGCTGACTCACAAGCTAAAACAACTTGCCCTTTTTCCTCCTCAAATAAAACCCATTCACAAAATAACACAATAACAATACATAATTTCATAACAGGGCAAAATATCCAGGGATACTGGTATACATTAAAACCAGTTTGTGGGGGATGAAGAGGTAAAATATGGAACACGGGTTTAGAGCAGGTCGCTCCTGTCTGTCCCAGCTACTGGACCACTATGACAAGGTCCTGGATGCTGTAGAGGATAAACAAAATACAGATATAGTATACACAGACTTTGGAAAAGCTTTTGACAAGTGTGACCATGGTGTAAAAGAGCACAAAATGCGTGATAAAGGAATAACAGAAAAAGTTGGTAGATGGATCTATAACTTCCTGACAAATAAAACACAAAGAGTAATAGTAAACAGAGTAAAGTCTGAGGCAGTTACGGTGAAAAGCTCTGTTCCACAAGGCACAGTACTTGCTCCCATTCCATTCCTTATCCTATCTGACATAGACAGGGATGCAAGCCATAGCTCTGTGTCTTCCTTTGTGGATGACACCTGAATTGCCATGACAGTGACCTTCATCCAAGACATTGCAAGACTCCAAGTGGACATCAACCAAATCTTCAAATGGGTCACTCAAAACAACATGAAGTTCAATGAAGAGAAATTTCAACTACTCAGATATGGAAAACTGGAAGAAATTAAAACTGTATTAGGGTATACAACAAATTCTAACCATACAATAGAGCAAAAAAGTACTGTGAAGGACCTGGGAGTGATAATGTCAGAGGATCTCTCCTTCAAAGACCACAACAATGTATCTACGACATCTGCTAGGATAATGATAGGATGGATAATGAGAACCTTCAGAACTTGGGACGTCAAGCCCATGATGATTCTCTTCAAATCGTTTGTTCTCTCTAGGCTGGAATACTGCTGTATACTAACTGCCCCTTCAAGGCAGGCAAAACTGTAGACCTGGAGAGTGTATGAAGAACTTTCATAGCACACATAAGTATGATAAGGCACCTAAATTACTGGGAACGGTTGAAGAATGCAGGCGAGAGAGATACATGATAATATACACTTGGAAAATCCTAGAGGGATTAGTATTAAACTTGCACACAAAAATCACTCCCTATGAAAGCAAAAGACTCAGCAGGAGATGCAACATTCCCCCAATGAAAAGCAGGAGCGCCATGAGTACACTGAGAGACAACACAATAAGTGTCTGCAGTCCTAGACTGTTCAACTGCCTCCCAGCATACACAAGGGTGATTACCAATAGACCCCTGGCTGTCTTCAAGAAGGCACTGGACAGGCACCTAAAGTCAGTATCTGACCAGCCGGGTTGTGGTTCGTATGTCAGTTTGCGTGCTGCCAGCAGTAACAGCCTGGTTGATCAGACCCTGATCCACCACAAGGCCTGGTCTCAGACTGAGCCGTGGGGGCGTTGACCCCCAAAACCCTCTCCAGGTATACTTTGGGTAACCCATAAAATTCATCTATAATACAATACATATATTTCAATCCTTCTCAAAATAATGCTGCATATATAAATAACAGTAAAAGGCACCACACCTGGCTTCAAGAGAAATCGACGTAAAATCTGGTGAAATCTGTGTGACTCTAGACCACCCAACAACCTCTAAATGTGAGAGAAGAGATCTCAGGTGTGAACTACGTAGCAATGACAAGTCTTCAACGTCCTGCTCTCTTCGCTGAGATGAACTCTACAAGAAAAAATAAATGTAATAAAACTGAAACACAGATGCCAGCATTTATTTCATGCTTACTACATTTTTAATTTACTAATTTAATGTTTACTCAACCCCTATACAAGTGAATAAGACAGGTGAAAGGTTATTGGGAAATTAACATAGACATGACATGGCAATTCTAAAAAAAGCACTTATTAATGTGAGAGGGAAAACATGAGACAACAGTCCACATAACAAATCTTTATGCTACCTTCTTATACAAAAGAAAACTAAATAATGTAAAATCACAGAAACCCACTTTTAGACAACAATACATAAATAATTAAAAGAAAACTGTTTATCACAGCTTCAGATCTCTGCTGAAGACCTCAGTTTTTCAAAATAAACAGCCCCCTATTGTCCTTTTGTTTTGCTTCCAGGTAGATTTTTCCATTCCCACTGACTTGTGTTAATTGCACTATCAATCACTGCAATGATATATGTGTAACACAGTTTGAGTGAAAGTAAGTTTAGTTTAGTTAGGTATAGGTATACATTACTGAATGGCATTTTCAGTTAGGTTCCTAATAAAATAAAAAAAAATCTCCCAGAACTAATAAACTGAAACTTTGAATACAATACAATTTTATTTCCTTGCAAGATTACACTGAGATTATGTCATTACAATAATGAGTTGCAGTGCAAAGAGAGCCACTATCATGCCATGGCATTATGGGCTAACTAAATTTAATGGCTCACAGACTACTTAATACTAGAGAAATTAATCACAGTTTGTTTGAGTTGTACATTTGTATTTATTAATAGTAGGCAGTAAGTTTACTCAAATTACAATCTGGGGATATTACATTGGGACAAGCTGAAAGTATTTTGTAGGTTTTGTATTATTATTATTATTTTTTTATTATCACACTGGCCGATTCCCACCAAGGCAGGGTGGCCCGAAAAAGAAAAACTTTCACCATCATTCACTCCATCACTGTCTTGCCAGAAGGGTGCTTTACACTACAGTTTTTAAACTGCAACATTAACACCCCTCCTTCAGAGTGCAGGCACTGTACTTCCCATCTCCAGGACTCAAGTCCGGCCTGCCGGTTTCCCTGAACCCCTTCATAAATGTTACTTTGCTCACACTCCAACAGCACGTCAAGTATTAAAAACCATTTGTCTCCATTCACTCCTATCAAACACGCTCACGCATGCCTGCTGGAAGTCCAAGCCCCTCGCACACAAAACCTCCTTTACCCCCTCCCTCCAACCTTTCCTAGGCCGACCCCTACCCCGCCTTCCTTCCACTACAGACTGATACACTCTTGAAGTTATTCTGTTTCGCTCCATTCTCTCTACATGTCCGAACCACCTCAACAACCCTTCCTCAGCCCTCTGGACAACAGTTTTGGTAATCCCGCACCTCCTCCTAACTTCCAAACTACGAATTCTCTGCATTATATTCACACCACACATTGCTCTCAGACATGACATCTCCACTGCCTCCAGCCTTCTCCTCGCTGCAACATTCATCACCCATGCTTCACACCCATATAAGAGCGTTGGTAAAAACTATACTCTCATACATTCCCCTCTTTGCCTCCAAGGACAAAGTTCTTTGTCTGCACAGACTCCTAAGTGCACCACTCACCCTTTTCCCCTCATCAATTCTATGATTCACCTCATCTTTCATAGACCCATCCACTGACACGTCCACTCCCAAATATCTGAATACATTCACCTCCTCCATACTCTCTCCCTCCAATCTGATATCCAATCTTTCATCACCTAATCTTTTTGTTATCCTCATAACCTTACTCTTTCCTCTATTCACTTTCAATTTTCTTCTTTTGCACACCCTACCAAATTCATCCACCAATCTCTGCAACTTCTCTTCAGAATCTCCCAAGAGCACAGTGTCATCAGCAAAGAGCAACTGTGACAACTCCCACTTTATGTGTGATTCTTTATCTTTTAACTCCACGCCTCTTGCCAAGACCCTCGCATTTACTTCTCTTACAACCCCATCTATAAATATATTAAACAACCACGGTGACATCACACATCCCTGTCTAAGGCCTACTTTTACTGGGAAATAATTTCCCTCTTTCCTACATACTCTAACTTGAGCCTCACTAGCCTCGTAAAAACTCTTCACTGCTTTCAGTAACCTACCTCCTACACCATACACCTGCAACATCTGCCACACTGCCCCCCTATCCACCCTGTCATACGCCTTTTCCAAATCCATAAATGCCACAAAGACCTCTTTAGCCTTATCTAAATACTGTTCACTTATATGTTTCACTGTAAACACCTGGTCCACACACCCCCTACCTTTCCTAAAGCCTCCTTGTTCATCTGCTATCCTATTCTCCGTCTTACTCTTAATTCTTTCAATAATAACTCTACCATACACTTTGCCAGGTATACTCAACAGACTTATCCCCCTATAATTTTTGCACTCTCTTTTATCCCCTTTGCCTTTATACAAAGGAACTATGCATGCTCTCTGCCAATCCCTAGGTACCTTACCCTCTTCCATACATTTATTAAATAATTGCACCAACCACTCCAAAACTATATCCCCACCTGCTTTTAACCATTCTATCTTCATCCCATCAATCCCGGCTGCCTTACCCCCTTTCATTTTACCTACTGCCTCACGAACTTCCCCCACACTCACAACTGGCTCTTCCTCACTCCTACAAGATGTTGTTCCTCCTTGCCCTATACACGAAATCACAGCTTCCCTATCTTCATCAACATTTAACAATTCCTCAAAATATTCCCTCCATCTTCCCAATACCTCTAACTCTCCATTTAATAACTCTCCTCTCCTATTTTTAACTGACAAATCCATTTGTTCTCTAGGCTTTCTTAACTTGTTAATCTCACTCCAAAACTTTTTCTTATTTTCAACAAAATTTGTTGATAACATCTCACCCACTCTCTCATTTGCTCTCTTTTTACATTGCTTCACCACTCTCTTAACCCCTCTCTTTTTCTCCATATACTCTTCCCTCCTTGCATCACTTCTACTTTGTAAAAACTTCTCATATGCTAACTTTTTCTCCCTTACTACTCTCTTCACATCATCATTCCACCAATCGCTCCTCTTCCCTCCCGCACCCACTTTCCTGTAACCACAAACTTCTGCTGAACACTCTAACACTACATTTTAAACCTAACCCATACCTCTTTGACCCCATTGCCTATGCTCTCATTAGCCCATCTATCCTCCAATAGCTGTTTATATCTTACCCTAACTGCCTCCTCTTTTAGTTTATAAACCTTCACCTCTCTCTTCCCTGATGCTTCTATTCTCCTTGTATCCCATCTACCTTTTACTCTCAGTGTAGCTACAACTAGAAAGTGATCTGATATATCTGTGGCCCCTCTATAAACATGTACATCCTGAAGTCTACTCAACAGTCTTTTATCTACCAATACATAATCCAACAAACTACTGTCATTTTGCCCTACATCATATCTTGTATACTTATTTATCCTCTTTTTCTTAAAATATTGTATTACCTATAACTAAACCCCTTTCTATACAAAGTTCAATCAAAGGGCTCCCATTATCATTTACACCTGGCACCCCAAACTTACCTACCACACCCTCTCTAAAAGTTTCTCCTACTTTAGCATTCAGGTCCCCTACCACAATTACTCTCTCACTTGGTTCAAAGGCTCCTATACATTCACTTAACATCTCCCAAAATCTCTCTCTCTCCTCTGCATTCCTCTCTTCTCCAGGTGCATACACGCTTATTATGACCCACTTCTCGCATCCAACCTTTACTTTAATCCACATAATTCTTGAATTTACACATTCATATTCTCTTTTCTCTTTCCATAACTGATCATTCAATATTACTGCTACCCCTTCCTTTGCTCTAACTCTCTCAGATACTCCAGATTTAATCCCATTTATTTCCCCCCACCGAAACTCCCCTACCCCCTTCAGCTTTGTTTCGCTTAGGGCCAGGACATCCAACTTCTTTTCATTCATAACATCAGCAATCATCTGTTTCTTGTCATCCGCACTACATCCACGCACATTTAAGCATCCCAGTTTTATAAAGTTTTTCTTCTTCTCTTTTTTAGTAAATGTCTACAGGAGAAGGGGTTACTAGCCCATTGCTCCCGGCATTTTAGTCGTCTCATACGACACGCATGGCTTACGGGGGAAAGATTCTTTTCCACTTCCCCATGGACAATAGAAGAAATAAAGAGGAACAAGAGCTATTTAGAAAAAGGAGAAAAACCTAGATATATGTATATATATATGCATGTGCGTGTCTGTGAAGTGTGACCAAAGTGTAAGGAGTAGCAAGATATCCCTGTTATCTAGCGTGTTTATGAGACAGAAAAAGAAACCAGCAATCCTATCATCATGCAAAACAGTTACAGGTTTCTGTTTCACAGTCATCTGGCAGGACGGTAGTACTTCCCTGGGTGGTTGCTGTCTACCAACCTACTACCTACATATCAATAGTATCAATAGTAAATATTTCATATCAATATTACATATCAATAGTAAATATTTAAATTATATTATGGGAATATAACATTGTGAGTTGTTGATAGTAGTTTACAGCATGAGAATGCGACAACTGGGTGTAAGGCAGTCTTGTTTTGGGTAGGTATTTATACTACAATGTAGTAATAAGTAATGTATGAACTTTGGGCATCTAGTTTTGAAGTTTTTAGATTTAGGTAATTGGGAGATTTTTTGGTAAGGTTAAATATTGAGTATTTGGTATTAAGTTTAGGGTGAGTAGGTGTTTTTTGAGAAGAGTCTTAAATTGATGTACAGACTGGGTTACTTTAGTATTTACTGGTAATGAAGTACAAATTTTGGGGCCCTTTATGTGCACCGAGTTTTTACACAGTGTGATTTGGACACGTGGTACATCAAAAATTTATCTGTGTCTTGTGTCCTGTTAAGGTTGGTGAGAAGTTTGAGTGGAGGGTTTATAGTTTATAGTTGACTGAGAAAGAAGAGACTCAATAATAAATACATAAATCATAAAAAGTAACAAGAGAAGCTAGATTTTTCATCACCCCCTCAAAAGGAGATCATGAGGCCACAATTGTAAACAGAAAAATTCTGAGGTAAAAGAAAATATTTCTTGACAAATAGTAGTGTAGGCTGCTGGAATGAAATACAGGAGGTAAACTGTGCTACAAGCACTGAAAACTTTACCAAAATATTTTAAGACAAAGTGAATACTGAAGGATGAGCTACCACAAGCATTGCTCTGATACAGTATGTATAAATAATACAAAAAAATACCAGTCACCATAGGGAATAACCTTCATTCCAAATTTATTTAAATTCAGACTCCAGTCACAGATAGGTGCATAGTCATAGGGAGTTAAAAAAACTTTAGCTTCCACTATTCCATCCTGACAATGAACTGAACCCAAGACATTGTGCACTTGAGGAATGGTATACCATACTATAAATATACTAAAGGAAGCAGATAAATACGTTTCCAAGTTCTTATCAGATACAAAGCTGTATTCCAAGCACTCAAAATTCGATGAACAATCTAAAATGCAGTACTTATATTAACAAATAGACATGCACTTTTCAACTTACGCATATATGCTGGAATTTGATGAGATACTCTAAAACTGTGCTGCATGTCTTTTCTACCTGAAAATTATTAGAAAATCATTTAACATAATATAACTACACTACAGCATTTCTATTTTTTCATTTATTGCACTCAAGTTTCATTTAATTTAACCCTTTCAGGGTTTCGGCCGTACTAGTATGGCTTACGCACCAGAGTTTTTGACATACTAGTACGCCTAAATTCTAGTGCCCTCAGATCCAGTAAGAGAAAGCTGGTAGGCCTACATATGAAAGAATGGGTCTATGTGGTCAGTGTGCACAGTATAAAAAAAATCCTGAAGCACACAGTGCGTAATGAGAAAAAAAAAAACTTTGACCGTGTTTTTGGATTAAAACAGCGAATTTGCACTGTATATTCATATGGTATGTATTGTTGTATTCTAGTTTTCTTGGTCTCATTATATAGAATGGAAGACATATTACAGAAATTGAGATGATTTTGACTGATTTTACAATGAAAAGTACCTTGAAATTGAGCTCAAAGTAGCAGAAATGTTCAATTTTTACCTAAGTTCAAAAGTAAACAAATCATGCTAAGCGTCCAATACACGTCAACTGGTAAGTCTAATATTCTTTCACAAGTGCACCAATATTATTTATACCATTTTTTGCACTAATGCAGTAGTCTGCATAACTAAATCTTCTATTTTTTTGTGAGAATAAAAATTCAAAGAGGAAAGCAAAAGAATGTAAGATAGGCATTGGGACGTGACTAATGAACAGAGGAAATGTCATTTTAGTTCCAGGAATGTATTCCTTGTTTATTCTGGACCCTATTTGGAAATTGGCATCTTTTGAAATTTGTGTGAAATTGGCAAAATTGCTAAATTCTAACCACTGTATTGGATAGTTGAAATCGGTAAATGGGTGATTTCTTGCACTCAATCGATAGGAAAAATGGAGTTCTAGCGAAATAGTTATGATTTTTGTTGACTAGTACAGTGGAATTGACTGAAAATTGGGCTCAAAGTGGTCAAAATCGCCGAGGCGTAAATATCGTCGAGACCGCTAAATTCGCGAGAGCATAATTCCATAAGTTTTCCATCAAATTTCATACTTTTGGTGTCATTATGATCAGGAAAAGATTCTCTGTCTTTTCATAAGAAAAAATAATTTTTTTTTTTTTAAATTTGGGCGACCCTGAGAACAAGTCTCTGAGAGGGCCTGTCGACCCTGAAAGGGTTAAGAGACATTAGATAGCCAATCAATTTTTTTTAACATTCTTCTATGCTTTTTTTCATCTTCATACATATCCTCACTTCATCTATCTTATTTTTTGGTCTTACATTCTACTTATACTTACTGTACATTAAAGTTCATGGAAAAAATTCTTATTTAGCATATTTTTTTTCATAATGGTAGTAAACTTCATTCAGCACCTCAAAATTTCTTTAAAGGCAAACACTTTTTAACAAATAACTTGATGAATACAATCAACAGGTTAAAAAATTCTAGCACACACTCCTACTTTCATGCCATTAATTTGCCTATCAGTAAAATTAAAATAAAAAGGAGTGCCAAACTTCGCACACAACTACATTATGAAAATTATAACTTTAAAGAAATATGTACAGCTTATATTGAATTGTGAATATGAGCAATGAAAAATGAATTTCTGCATCAACGTCTAATAACCCAAGCAGACTACTACGTGTCCCAGTTGTTTGTCAATGGCTGTCAACTAGTGATTCAGTCATCGGGCTGGCTGCTAGAGGACTCTGGTCAGTGAAGAACAAGCATAATGGAACCAGGAGACAACACTAGGTGGAAAAATATCCTTACTGAGTTCTAAGGGGATACTGTAAGTAGATGCATTAGTGTGCTAGTTATATTCCTATTTAGTCATCAGGCCATGATGCAGATGAGAGATTTTCAATGTTAAAAAACATTTATTGTGGTTAATAAAACTTCCTAAGTAAAAAATGAGGTGTGTAATGTCATAGTACACACAGCTGATGCAAAAAGATAATAAAAAAAAAATGTAGAAAAACTAATTATATTTGTAGTACAGTCTCTCCTCACTTAACAACGTACTCATTTACTGACGACTCAGACTTAAGACCAGCTCTCTGACCAGCATGCATACCTAAATAATGTATATTAGAGCTGATTTCCTCTATTCTGTTTATTACAATATACAGTACACTGTTGTATAAACATTTAAAAAATATAAGAAATGTTATAAATGGTGCAAAGGTGATATTAAAACAATATCAAAGATGGTTGACACAAACCCCCTACCATTATAGTATACTCCTCACTTAGCAACGAATTCGTTTACCAACATAGTCTTAGGAATGGAACTCCATCATTAAGTGAGGAGAGGCTGTATAACGTGGATACTGAATTATAACTATTTATTTACTCAAGCCATGTAAATTATCTGTGGTTATTCAAAATCACAACCTAGTGACATTCACACTTAAAGCCTGCTATTTAAAAATAATAATAATAAAAAAAAAAAAACTTGGATCAGGCATTAACCCTTAAACTGTCCAAACGTAGAGCTACGTTCACATGCGTAGAACTTTCTATTTTACATGTTTTCTTACGTAAAAAAACATAGATGTACATTTGGATCACTACGCATGTGAACATAGATCTACGTTTGGACAGTTTAAGGGTTAATAAGGAAAGAAAGTACTGTACAGTATTTACCTCACTGAGCTGGGCTTGACAAGTGTGGATAATAGAGGATAGCTGAGCATCAGTGCTTAGAGTCAGTCCCTTCAGTAATGGGAAGTGCGGAGTGCTGAGATACACTGCATAATCAATGTCCTGTCAAAATCACACCAAAACATTATTTTGGGGGATAACTGCAAGTCTTAATTATTCACAATACAAAGTAGTACAGTACACGTATTTCACTCGTACAAATTTTATATCTAGGAAAAATTGTTGGACTTTTCTTTCATCTCAGCAGCACGAAAGATGGCGGGTAAATACAACAAACATTCTCATAATGCATGGGATACATTTCTGAAAATCAGCATGTAATGTAATAGTATAGCATTAGGTGCAGAACATCAGGGAAAATAAGGTAACATTCTGGATACCTAAACAGTTACCAAACAAACCTGACATATAAATGTCATGCTGAATCCAGGGTAATACAGATTGTGAATATTATGCAGAAAATGGTGCAACAGCAGCAGTTTCTTGTAGTTTCATTCTGTATTTTTTGCTTAATTTTTTGTTTTGTTTTATTCCTTTATTTTTTGTTTTCTTGTTATATTTCTTATTGTTTTGGCTCACGAAATCGTAGTGACACAATTGGAGTTTTGAGACTCTCTGATCGTGGGTTCTATCCCCGCCCGTGGTATGGTTCGTTTGCAATCATGTCATTACGATTTCGTGAGTCATGTTAACGGCTTTGAGGGGACTTGAGCTAGAGTTCGTCACGGCCACGCTAGCTGGAGATTCGTCTGTAAAAACTTGCATTTGTGGTCACAGTGGTGCCTATGCTAACCTTCCTATGGTGTAGAAATATACCTAGTTGGATGAATCTTATTGTGGCTAACTGGTCCAGTGGCTAACGCGACGGTCTGGAGTTTTGAGACTCTCTGATCGCGGGTTCTATCTCCGCCCATGGTATGGTTTCTTGAAGTAGGGGTCGTCCTCGAAAGGGTTGGAGAGAGGGGGTAAAGGAGGTTTTGTGGGCAAGGGGCTTGGACTTCCAGCAAGCGTGCGTGAGTGTGTTTAGGAGTGAATGGAGACGAATGGTACTTGGGACCTGATGATCTGTTGGAGTGTGAGCAGGGTAATATTTAGTGAAGGGATTCAGGGAAACCGGTTATTTTCATATAGTCGGACTTGAGTCCTGGAAATGGGAAGTACAATGCCTGCACTTTAAAGGAGGGGTGTGGGATATTGGCAGTTTGGAGGGATATGTTGTGTACCTTTATACATATATGCTTCTAAACTGTTGTATTCTGAGCACCTCTGCAAAAACAGTGATTATGTGTGAGTGTGGTGAAAGTGTTGAATGATGATGAAAGCATTTTCTTTTTGGGGATTTTCTTTCTTTTTTGGGTCACCCTGCCTCGGTGGGAGACGGCCAACTTGTTGAAAAAAAAAAAATGTATAAATTAACCTTTCTTCTGTTGGTAATAAGAAATGTCAACAATTCAAGCACTGTGAGCAACAGTGCTATATGTCTCAGGGTTATATGTCTCAGTATTTATGCATTTAAAGAATATATTACTTTATTCCTAACAGGCCCATATTTGGGATTAAAGTAGTTTTCATTGGTTGTGAACAGGTGACATGTAGCCTTAACAACCCTTATTCAACTGGGTTTAAGCATGATTAGTTAACCATCAAACCATCCTTACCCCAATACTAATGAAGCCACTGAATGAATGAGGCTGACCAGAGGACACTGATATGCACAGCAGAGGGAACTTTGTACATAAATCTGATACGGCCATCACACACACACACACCTGCAGAACAGAAGTTCAAATTCAAATTCAAATTTCAAATTTATTTATTTATTTGCAAGTAGTACACTAAGATTATGTATTTACAATAATGGGTCGCAATGCAAAGAGAGCCTCTATTATGCCTAGGCATTATGGGCCGACTTAATTCATTGGCTTACTGACTATTTAACACTAAAGAAATTTATCATAGTTGTACAGTAGTTCTATTATTATAGGTGAATCTAATTTACATAAACAAAGTTGCTTTGTAAATGTATATTGTAACTTAAAACATTAAAATTTAACTTACACAGCATTTGAAAACTGAACAGCACTTAAAAACTAAATAATAAAAATGCCTAACCTAACCTGGCCACTTTTTATCCATAAAAGTGGTCAATTTAGGTTAGGTATGGATGCTGGTTAGATTAGGCATGGATACTGGTTAAGTTAGGCATACCATTTTTTACAGAAGACCTTCATTAAAATTTGGGGTCAAATCAGCATCAAACAAGAGCTAGCCACAACTATTTTAACAATATACTGCAGGTTTCTCATACTGTGTCAACTATCTTAAACCCCTAGCTTACTCAATTGCTACCTCCCCATCATAATCTAAACCACCCATTGTAACCTAAACCACCTTTTTAAGTACAGAAAATATTCATTCTGATTTGTCACACAACTTAAATTACATGCTATAATACTTTTCTAAGTACCTGTACTTCTGCTAATATTAATGAGTAGCTGGCAAATACAATTTAGTCTGCCCCAAATGCTACATATAACAAGGGCTTGTAACATAGAAAAGTTGTAATCCCAGAACTGTATTAAATCTGTAAAAAAGCATACTGTTAACCAATTAACTGTAACGGTCATGTATATTTTAAATAAAGGTCATGATTATAATGGTTATAACAAAAACTGAAGCAGAATATCAAACTAATCAACTGCATCCACCAACCTCGGAAGCATGTACATCCCAGAGAAATAGTTCACACTTCTTACTCCTGAAAAAATAATGTAGTGATACTGGTCCTGTGGGGAGCAGCAGCAGGATAATACTGCACCACCTCTTGGGGCCCTTAACAACAACAACAGTTTGGTGTGTGTCATGGGCGCAACACATGGTGTGTGATTCTCTCCTACTATATCCATTTATCAGTGATGCAGATTACATGAAGTACTATGAAGATTCTATGTTCAACCACCAATAATAAGGCAGCGTTTATTGGAGAATAAAACTCTCGACTTAGCCGCTGCCTTTGACCAGGCAAGAGCTCTAGATTCAGCCTAGAGATAAGGCCTGTGTTTCTAATCACAACAATTTATTGAACATAGAATCCTGGGCTACCTGGTGGTGATCCTGCGCTAGACTACATCACAACATGGAGCGTTTACTGAAACCTGAGAGGCTAGACTGTGACCCCAGCTTATCAACGGCTGCTCAGGAATGGAAGCACTGGTTTAAGACTTTCGAAAACTTCTTGGGAGCCCTTCCTAAAGAAGATCTAGATAAACTAAGTCTGCTCATCAATTTTGTGTCACCTAAGATATACGAGGCTATTTCTGAGTGTAATACCTACGAAGATGCTATCAAAACCCTCAAGTCTCAGTATATTAAACCTACAAATGAAATCTTTGCACGCTATCGCCTTGCAACTCGCCGCCAGCAGATTGATGAATCCTTAGAGGAATACTTTCAAGCACTGAAAATTTTAGGTAAGGACTGTCACTTCCAAGCAGTGACAGCTGCTCAGTATTGTGAAGAGTCCATCAGGGATGCTTTTATCAGTGGCCTGCAATCACCATTAATAAGGCAGCGTTTATTGGAGAATAAAACTCTCGACTTAGCCGCTGCCTTTGACCAGGCAAGCGCTCTAGATTCAGCCTAGAGATAAAGCCTGTGTTTCTATCACAACAAATAAAACACTATATTTTGGCATAAAAACAGTGGTCAGCATAAGCTATAACATGAGAAAGATTTTTGCATATAAGTAAACTCCACAAGTTTCTGCTGGCTGTATTTCCTGACAAAAGGGGCTGTTATTGTTTCTTTCAAGTCCATCAAAAATTTCCTAAGGGTCCAGGAACTGCATCCTAACACTGATGACTAAAACATGTGCATCTCTTGAATATGTTTATTGCTGAGATGCTTCACCTGCACAGCAGGCTTCTTCAGTCTGCCAATTTCGTCAAGGTTGGGAACCAAAGCAATCATAGTAATTGGGGCAGAGAGCACAACTTTGTAGTACCCACAGCCAGTGGCCAGGCTTCAAACACCTTACATTGTACAGCAGTAAAGGAATGGAACAGACTGCCTGTACATGTCAAAGCCAGTCATATCATAAACCAGTTCAAGAAGAGAGCCAAAAGGTGTCTGATGAATGTAGCAACAGAAAGGGAGGAGAATGATTTTTTTTTCAGTTAACACACATGTAAATATAAATAACCCATTTTACCTTATTTCTAGTATATCTCCTTTATAGTATAATAATAAGATATTATCTCCTTTATAGTATAATAAGATATTATCTCCTTTATAATATAATAATAAGATATTATCTCCTTTATAATATAATAATAAGATATTATCTCCTTTATAATATAATAATAAGATATTATCTCCTTTATAGTATAATAATAAGGCATTCAAAGGACCCCAATAGAAATAAGTCACTGTCTGACTTTTTGGGTTATTCCAGATTGTTTACATATATGCTGCTATGTATGATAATCTATGTAACTGTATTTGTGTATACCTGAATAAACTTACAGATGAACATAACAGTAAAAAAAGCATTGACAATCTTGATCTCAAAATTACTTGTACTGTCCCTAGTGTTGTATCTGCCTGTTATCAGGTGAAACATTCTGACAATAAAAATACCCAGGCATTGTAGAAGTGTTTTATTCATTTGGTCGATATTGTACACTATTAATAATATAATTATAACAGTGATGTGTAGGATGATATATAATAATAATGGGAGAGTGCTAAACCCATAGGATTATACAGCGCAAGTGGGGAGGGGGGGGATGGAAGGTATTCAGGCTCCAGGGAACTGGAGAACTGATCCAATTCCCTAGATCAAGAGCCCCTCACCAGCGTCAAGGTACCCCTTGAGGGGGATGTGCAGGATGAGGGAGACCTGTACATCCGTGGCTTGGTTGACAGTGCACTTGCCTCACATAATGAGTGCGCGTGGTTCAATCCCCGGCACGGGTGGAAACACAAGGCATGTTTCCTTACACCTGCTGTCCTTGTTCACCTAGCAGTAAGCAGGTACCTGGGTGTTATGTGACTGTTGTGGGTAGCATCCTGGGGAGCAACATTAAAGGACCACAATGGAAATAAGCCAGAGTCGAGGATGACGCAATAACTTGACTGGGTTATCCTGGATGACTAACCTTACCCCTGGGTTATAGCCCTTGTGGTTTAGCGCATCTTTTTTATTATAATAATTACCCCTGGGTTAAAAATCTGAAAACCTCATCTTACCAAAAACCTATGTACTTACCTCAATTATTATAATTGGGAGCGCTAAACCCGTAGGATTATACAGCGCCTGTGGGGGGAGGGATGGAAAGCATTCAGGGAACCAGAGCACAGATCCAATTCCCTAGATCAAGAGCCCCTCACCAGCGTCACTTTTGAAAAACAACTTCCAGATGTAAGTTAATTTAGGCACAGATACACACAGGTACATTTATCATATATAGTGTAACTTACCTAGGATAACCAGATATATCAAAGATGGACCTGAGAAAAGAAAACAGGAGTATCTTTGTAAAAGGAAACAGAAACTAGAAGTTCCCAAATAGAGCAATGTAATAGTTACCAAGGTGCAGCAGCGCCACCTCGCCAGGGTGCACTGACCGGCTTCACAATAAAACCGTTAAATATATGTTGGTAGAATTACCGATAATATGTAAGGTAAAAAGGACACAAGTGCAACGATGTGACATTTTATTGTGGCGATGTTTCGCTCTCCGGCTTGACAAAGCTCCGGGAAAGCGAAACGTTCCCACAGTAAAATGTCACATTAGTTGCACTTGTGTCCTTTTCATTTACAAAACCGTTAAAGAAATAGCTAAAGCGGAAAATTGGAGCTGGCTAAATTGAGGTGATGAAAACTGTCCTTCCCGCACAGTGGCCGGCGGGCGAAGTATAAGATGATTAAAGATTTGTTGGTATTTTTAACTCGGGGAGGGTTAGCCACCCAGGATAACCCAATAAAGTCTGCGAGTCATCGAGGACTCTGTCTTATTTCTATTGTGGTCCTTTAATCTTATCCCCCAGGATAATATAAGAATTATCGAGAAGGTACTTGTCAATTCCTCGTAGTATTTCATATGTTACAATGTCCCCTTCTCTCTCCTGTCCTCCATTGTCGTCAGGTCGATTTCCCTGAACTTTTCTTTGTAGTACATTCCCCTTAGCTCCGGGACTAGTCTTGTTACAAACCTTTGCACTTTCTCTAATTTCTTCATGTGCTTGACCAGGTGTGGGTTCCAAACTGGTGCTGCATACTCCAATATAGGCCTAATGTACACGGTGTACAGTGTCTTGAACGATTCCTTACCAAGGTGTCAGAACGCTATTCTTAGGTTTGCCGGGCGCCCATATGCTGCAGCAGTTATCTGGTGGATGTGCTCGGTATTATACTTATCCCAAGATCCTTTTCCTTGAGTGAGGTTTGCAGTATTTGGCCTCCCTAGCCAGTAACTGTCTGGTGGGGCTAAATTCCAGGAGCCAGTTGCTGGACGAGGTGTCCAGCCTGTCCAGGTCCCTTTGTAGTCCTGCTTGATCCTCATCTGATTTAATTCTCCTCATTAACTTCACAACATCTGCAAACAGGGACACTTCTGATTCTATCCCTTCCGGCATGTCATTCACATATCACCCTATATCACTCTCTTATTTACCCCTATCTCACCTATGGAATTTGTGCATGGGGCTCAAACAACAATTACCATTTCAGATCACAATTACCCACAAACAAGGCTGCAGTTAGAAGGATAGAACACGCTCAAATTCTCCACTACAGGCAGCACTCACTCCACCAATATTCAATACACTATACCGCTACTCCACCATACAAATACATCCATACTTATTACTGCAACCTATTTTACATACATAGAATTATTATATTGTTAAACTGCTGTATTAACCCTCCCCTCAAAACATCTCCTTGCCAACCTCACAGAACACATGACCATAACCACAAGGCACAGATCACTCTTTGATGTTCCTCGTGTCCATCTCAACTATGCCCCCCCCCCCCCCCCCCGAAAAAACCTCAATGCACATAAAAGGCCTAAAAATCTGGAATTCATTATACCTGTTAAAAATATAAAAAGAATACACAACTGTTTTTTTATAAATTCAAGTCTCTTCTCAAAGATTACTTACTCAGCCTAAACCAAATAAATACTGAATAAACGAACATTATAATAAAAAATAACATTTTTGTTGGTATATCTTAAATGTTTCTGCACAATTATAGTCCATAATGTAAACCGTCTGTAAAACATCCTCTCCGAATCTAATCTTATTTTTTAAATACACTACCTAACAGAATCACTACCTAACTGAATGCAACATATGGACCTGTCTTTGAAATACTCACTTGTGCTTTATAGTTAGATCTGTTACATTTAATGTTTTATCTACTGATTTCATCCATTGCTTAGTAGCAGCGCTGTATAGTCCTTGTGGCTTAGCGCTTCTTTTTGATTATAATATATAATAATCATTGCCCTTTAGTTAAATCTTAAGTTAATTTTAAGCAGCTCCGTAATTGCTATGCATAGTATAAGTGGCTTTGGCATACTGCATTATCTGTTTTATTTTTTTTTGTACCCTGTATTGTGTGCACAAAATTGGAAATAAATAAATAAATAAATAAATAAAATATACCAGGATTGGACTGACCCCTGTCGGGACACGCTCGTCACAGACACCCACTGTGATACTTCGTCATCGCGAGGTACCATGACTTGTTGCCTCCCTGTCGGTATTCTCTGATCCATTGCGTGCCCTTGTCCTGTGGTATAGTGCTGGATCCTCTGCTGTTTGCATTAATCTCTTGTGAGGAACTGTCAAAAGCCTTCTTACAACCCCAAGAATGCAATCTTACCTCCCCCCTCCCCTCACCTCTGT